CTGGGAAAATATCTGAAAATAAAAAATAAAAATAATTAATGACAATATAATTATGTGTTAATATTTTAATTAAAAAAATAAAAAATTAACTACTATATAATTACAAAGACAATTAAGTAAATAATTTTGGCTAGACAGAAATTCGACTCTAACTCCCAAATCGGGAACCCGATTCGAGCTCCGTCTTCTTCCACAAGTCTCTCGTGCCTAGGCGGTCGTGTGTGCCAAGTTTCGTGCTAATCTAACGTCGTTTGATGATTTTGGGATATCAATACCTCGAATTCAAGTTTCTTAAGGAACTAGTTTGTGTAGAATGAAATTCGGCTCTAACCCCCAAACCGGGAACCCGATTGGAGTCCCATCTTTTCCCACAAGTTTCTCGTGCCTAGGCAGTCGTGTGTGCCAAGTTTCGTGCCAAACCGACTCCGTTTGGTGATTTTGGAGTGTCAACACCTCGAATTCAAGTTTCTTAAAAAACTAGTTTGCCTAAAGTGAAATCCGGCTCTAACTCCCAAACTGAGAACCCGATTGGAGTCCCGTCTTCTCTCACAAGTCTCTCGGGCCTAGGCGGTCGTGTGTGCCAAGTTTCGTGCCAAACCGACAACGTTTGGTGATTTTGGGGCATCAACACCTTGAATTCAAATTTCTTAAGGAACTAGTTTGCCTAGATCGAAATCTGACTCTAACTCCCAAACTGGGAACCCGATTCGAGCCCCGTCTTCTCCCACAAGTCTCTCGTGCCTAGGCGGTCATGTGTGCCAAGTTTCGTGCCAATCCAACCCCGTTTGGTGATTTTGGGGCGTCAATACCTCGAATTCAAGTTTCTTAAGGAACTAGTTTGCCTAGAGTGAAATCCAGCTCCAACTCCCAAATCGGGAACCCGATTGGAGTCCCGTCTTCTCCCACAAGTCTCTCGTGCCTAGGCGGTCGTGTGTGCCGAATTTCGTGCCAAACCGACGCCGTGTGGTGATTTTGGGGCGTCAACACCTCGAATTCAAATTTCTTAAGGAACTAGTTTGCCTAGACCGAAATCCGGCTCTAACTCCGAAATCGGGAACCCGATTTGAGCCCCGTCTTCTCCCACAAGTCTGTTGTGCCTAGGCGGTCATGTGTGCCAAGTTTTGTACTAATCTGACCATGTTTGGTGATTTTGGGGCGTCAACACTCGAATTCAAGTTTCTCAAGGAACTAGTTTGCCTAGAGTGAAATCCAGCTCTAACTCCCAAACCGGGAACTCGATTGAAGTCCCGCCTTCTCCCACAAGTTTCTCGTGCCTAGGCGGTCGTGTGTGCCAAGTTTCGTGCCAAACCGACACCGTTTGGTATTTTGGGGCGTCAACACCTTGAATTCAAGTTTCTTAAGAAACTAGTTTGTCTAGAGTGAAATCCGGCTCTAATTCCCAAGCTGGGAACTCGATTGGAGTCCCGTCTAAAGAGAGAGAGAGAGAGAGAGAGAGAGAGAGGGAGTGCTAGGTTAGGGATTAGGGAGATCGTGAGAAAAAAAGGGGGGAATTGAGATAAAATTGCGGGAAAATGAAAAGAGTTTTTTTTTCGTTAAAATATATATATATATATATATATATATATATATATTTTGTAGTTAATGAATTTTTTTTTTCATTTTTTTTTAGAATTTTCATTTTTCATTAAAAATTTCTTTGTTTCATTTTTATTTTAATGAAAAAAAAATTATTATTTTTTATTTGGTAGAAGTAAGGGTAATATTTTAATGAAAAAATATTTTCTATTAAAATAAAGTTAATTTTTTGTGGTCAATGAATTTTTTTTTTTTTGCGGCCCATTTTTTTTGGTTACTATAAATCAGGAACTAATTTTTTGTGGTAGAGGAGATGGAGCAGCAGTAGTGGTGAAGGTGGTGGTGGTGGTGATGGCGAAGGAGATTAGTGGTGAAATTGTGGTAGTGGCAGTAGTAGTGGTGGTGGTGGATAAGAGGTGATAGTGGTAGTGGTGGTGATGGTGAAGGAGATTAGTGGTGAAGTTGTGGTAGTGATAGAGGAGATAGAGTAGCAGTGGTGAAGGAGAGGTAATGGTAGTAGTAGTGGTGGTAGTGGAATGATGGCGATGGTGGTAGTAATGATAGTCGTAAAGGTGGAGTGGCAACAGTGGTTGTAGTGGTGGTAGTGGAATGGTATTTGCAGTAGTGGTGAAGATGGTAGAGGAGATGTGTGGTATGAGAGAGATAAGTAAGAGACAGATAGAAAAGAGAGATAGAGAGATAGAGTGATAAGCGAAAGAGAGACAAAGTGGTCGCTAAAAGTGCATTTTCTTGTAATGTCTTAATAAATCGAGAGGGAGCTTAGTAAATAGAGAAGAGGAGAGGGGGAGAGTGAGCAAGGTGAATACAATGAAGGAGAGAGACAGACAGACAGACAAATAGATAGGCAGATAGAGAGAGAAAGAGAGAGACAAGAGTGATAAGTAAGAGACAGAGATAGAGAAAGAAAGAGACAAAAAGAGACAGAAAAAGAGAGAAACAAGAGATGAGCGAAAGATACACAAAAGAGAGAGAAATATAGCAAAAAGATATGAATGATAAAGAGACAAAGAGAGAGAGAGAGATAGAGAGAGAAAAGAGATGAGCGAGAAAAGAAAGAAGAGAGATGAGTGAGAGAGGCAGAGAGATAGAGACAAAAAGATGAAAGAGATTGAGAGATGAGAGATGAGCGAGAGAGAGAGATAGAGAAAAGAGAAATAAGCGAGAAAGACAGATGAGAGAGATAAAGAGAAGAGAGATGAGCGAAGAGAGAGAGAGACAGACAGATAGACAGAGAGAGAAGAGAGAAGAGTGACGAGTGAGAGAGAGAGAGAAAGATGAAAAAATGGGTGAAAAGAGACAAACAAAGAGAGAGAGAGAGAGAAAGAGTGAAAAGAGATAATAGAGAGAGAGAAAGAGACAAAGAGAGATGAGCGAAAGAGGGAGAGAGATAAAGAGAAGAGAGACAGAGAGAGACGAGAGATAGAGAGATGAGAGATGAGAGATGAGAGAGAAACACACAAAGAGAAAGAGAGAGAGAGATAGACAGAGAAGAGTGATGAGTGAGAGAGAGAAAGAGAAGAGAGACAGAGACACATAGAGAGAGAGAGAGAGACAGATAAACAAGAGTGATGAGTGAGAGAGAGAAAAAGAAGAGGGACAGAGACAGAGAGATAGGAAGATGAAAAAATTGGTGAAAAGAGAAATGTTCAAAAGAGTAAGACGACGTCATTTTTTTTTTCTTCTTTGTGACAGAAAAATACCGTTGCATTTATTTAAACCATTTTGTGACTACATATATATGAAGTTGTCTCAAAGCCATAATATATATATATATATTTTTTTTTTTTACCTTTTTTTTTTTGCAACGGTACCATTTTGTGACTATATATATGAAGCCGTCTCAAAGCCACAATATATATATATTTTTTTTACTTTTTTTTTTTTTTGCAACGGTACCTATTACAGTCACAAAAAACTCTTCTTTTTTTTTTTTACGACTGCAGCTGGTGCCATTGCAAAAGCTCTATTTTTTTGTGACAGCAATCTTTGCCGTCACAAATATCCTTTTTTTTTTTGCGACAGCAATTTGTGCCGTCGCAAATACTCTCATTTTTCACGACAGCATTTTATGCCGTCGTAAATACTCTATTTTTTGCCACAGCAAATTGTGCCGTCTCAAAAGGTCACATTTTTTGGCGATGACAAGTTGTGCCGTCTAAAAAAGTCACATTTTTTACAACAGCAAGTTGTGCCGTCTCAAAAAGTCACATTTTTTACGACGGCAATTTGTGCCGTCTCAAAAAGTCACATTTTTTGCGACGACAAGTTGTGTCGTCGCAAAAAGTTCCGTCTTTTAAGCCCCCTTTTCTTGTAGTGATAGGGGTTTGGTAATATATCACTTCATATATTTAATATATATACATATAAAATTTATACAATTAAACTACGTCGTAGGTACATCCCAATTGTCAAATTTTTCATGATTGTAAATAAAGAAGGTATTAGCTATCTAAAGTTTGAAAATAATTAATATAAAAAATACACCTACACTACACAGACCATAAATAACAAAAAATAAAATAAAATAAAAAGTGTGATTTTAAAAAAATCACTAATATTTTCACACACTACAGGAAAAATGGCCTACTGCAACGTTTCTTTTATGGCGTTTTGGGAAACGCCATTATAGATGGATGAAAGACAACGCTTTCAAAATGTTGTCTTAGAGCTCAGTTGAACGACGTCGTATTGGGTGTATATATTGACACCGTCCATACTCCATTTCTCACTTTCTGTCTCTCACTTTCTCTGTCTTTTCCGTAGCTCGGTCTCTCTCCATCTCTCTTTCTCTCTCTCTTCCAAAGCCCTCGACTGATATTCATCGAACCAGATCAAAGACACACACACACACTCTCTCCCTCTCTCTCGCTTGCTCGCTCGATTGCAGATTTTGCATTGTATATTCGTCGAACTCTTGATCACTGTCGCTCTTCATCGATCTGTCGCTAGAGAGATTTGATTAGTCTCTTCATCGAACTTGAACTTAAACTCAATCCGTTCTTCACCAAATCGCAAATCCAAAATCGATATCATTCTCGAACCAGATCGATCTCTGTTGCTCTTATCTCAGGTACAATTTTCATTCTCTTAATCGATGTTCGAGTTTGAACCAGATCAATCTCTGTTGGTCTACTTTCTCATTGTCAAATCTGCTAATTAACTCTCTAATTTTTTCATTTTCAGATTAGATCAGATCAGATCGTTGAACCAGATCGATCAAATCTGCTGGTAGGTTTGTTTGTTTTTCATTATATTGTTTGTTTTTCAAATCAATTAACTCTCTAATTTGCAAGACAGTTTGGGATTAGATAGCTCATACTATAGAAGCTATCATGTAATCAAAGAAAAACCTCATTCCTAATCACTTAAAAAGCAACTAAAAGAAGATAATTCTGAAAGATTTATCTTATAGAAGCAACTGTTTGTTGTTCCAAGGCATGACTTACAGGTTTAATGTTGGTCAATGATACTTTATAATCCTTTTGTTCTTTAGATAGAACACAGAGATGATACATTGCCAATATGCCCTGTACCACCCAGCCATCCACAACACTCAATAACACATCGGTGCTTCAAACTTTTAAACAATGCTATAACATGACAGAATTTCACATTATTATATCATGTTTCTCTTGCATTCATTCAGTCTTGTAGAATGCGCTTACCCGCTTTCACACATAAACTACTTTACACAATATAGAATGTGAGTTCTCCATCTAACATATTTCTATCACCTCATTCGTAATGCCATAGTTAAGTATTTACTGACATGCTGTGTTTGAAGGACCATGAAAGAATTGTGCTAAAAAAACATACCTTCCTGTGTATAGAAATATAAGCAGGTTGCCAAACGAGGCAGCTTTAAAAATTCCTTCTATACGTTGTATTAGTATCCAAGCTCGGCGTGGCAGTGACCTCTGGAAAGTATGAAAAATGAATCAAATCCTTTTTGTTGTTTCATTATATTATACATACATAAAGTGTGTCTACATATAATTGCTTTACAGGAGAGAGATAGATTTGATTATGGTTGCATGAAATTAAAATGAAAAACCTGCTCAAAATCACCCCATCTACGGAAAGCAGAAAATGATTGTAAACGGGCCTAGATATATTGATCATCAACAGTGGCAATACAATACCAAAGTTTCTAAGCAACAGTGAGTCGAGGTCCCTCCAAGCCCATTATGACTGGAGCATTTCACACAAAAATATACAACATACAACTTAGGATACAAGTAGACAAGTTTGGGTTGATATGAGGTTCAATGGAAAAAAAAATTCAACTGTAACAGGCTGCCAAAAGTTGTTGACTTTGAGATACAAAAATTATAGTTTCATGGAACCTTACAATTAAAGTGAAAACTAATTTGATGAGACGTAAAACAAGGATGAATGATAAGAACCAAAGTGATTGCAAGCCCCCATAAATCATGAAAATTCAATTTAATTTTTTGTATTACAAAATATTCTATTTGAGGTGCGATAATTGATATACTGCTTTCACAGATAGTTGAACCAGATCAATCGATCTTGCTCTTCATCTCAGGTACATTTTTCAAAGCAATTAATTCTTTGGTAGTTTTGTTTGTTTTTCATTACTTTCTTTGTTTTCAAATCAATTAACTCTCTAATTTAAGATTTTGTAGATTTATTTGTTTTCATTACTTTTGAGAGGGGGTGGTAATTGATTTGCAAGATAGTTTGGGATTAGATAGCTTATACTATAGATGGTCTCATGATCTCAGAGTGACAATGTATGAGGTTGTTTGGATGTTTGCAATTAATTATCTATTTGGCAAGTGTACTTGGTCTATATTTTTTGTGTAACATTATGATTTTGAATTTCTAATGTTTATCATAATTTTTTGTTAAGTAATTTGAAATCTACCCTCGTCTGCACAGTTTTCTTTTTGAGCTTTGATAGGGACACAAAAATGGTGCTATAAAAATGAAATAGAACACTACTAAGATATATTGGTATGTGTGGATGTTCATGTAGTAGTGAGAACTTGTTGCTTACTGTAGACGTCCCCGAACGCCCCGGGAGGATGTGTCCCGTTCTGTTCGTTGGGGCTCACTACAGTTCGGACTCTCAAATTGTCACGGTTCTTAATCTGAACCAAAGAGTCCAAATCCGGCAAATCGTTTTGAGAAAAACAGATTTTTGTAAAAAAGTGCCAAACATGGACTGCTTTGCTAGATACAGAGTTGCCACCTAAATATTTTATTTTAGGAAATTTAGGAAACCCTGACTCGTTGCCTAAGGCCACGTGTTCGTCATCACCAAAGTTGCCTACTTTTAGTTTCTTCATTAATATGCTTCATGCTAGAAATGCTTCTAGTATGCTTGATAGTGTTTATTCAAGTTGCACCACCGGGATGCAAAAATCATGACAGATGTTAATTTAGCAAGTAATTATCCATGCATGCATAAATAGCCGTAGACCTATCCAAGAATCTTCATCAGAGATACCTAGTCATCTTTGATGAAGCTCTTCTTGGATTGTCCAATTGTCGGTCTCTACTAACCATGATATCCAGTTTTGAAAACATTATGTGTTCTTATTCAGGTTATTAGCCTAGATTTACTACGTGATGCGCACAGCAAACAAGTATAGACTAAGTCGCCTAGATTGGAACGAAACATTTCATGTTTGTTTGTTTGAAAATGGTTTGATGGTGCTACTCGTTAGTAGGCTAAGACATGAATTTTGCCACCCTCAAGTCGGCTTAGAAAATATAATTTTGCCACTCTCAAGTGGGCTTAAAACTCGTATTCAATGCGTTGTTCTAATTTAAGTAACTCAACCTTCACCCACAAGCATTCAGGCAGTTATAACACGTAAGCACGTAGCCTCATGGTAAGCATGCTATCATGGCAACACTCACACTCATGCAAGGATGCTAAAACGTAAATGCTTACTGAGTACTCCAAGCCAAAACAGAAACTAGTTAATAATCATATGCATGATCTTAGTTCATGTTAAGATGGCTAATGCAACACATGCAAGATGCAGCTACAATAGGCTCGGCTAATCGATGGATGGCATATGATGATGCTGCAACTAACACGTATTCAACTTGGAATTGAAATACAATGCAGTTAGTATGATGCGCCGAGCCCGGTGAATGCAAGTGTAGACACCCCATTTTTGACCGACCTTAAGACTCAGACGTCGCCAGTTGAGCACTTGGTGATATTGCATGTTGTGCTTGTTCAGAAGTCTCAGAGTCGCGGCTGCGAGCCCTGCCTCCGGACTTCTGAACCCTCTTCTGTGCCTTGCCTTGGTTTGCGAACCAGACTCGGTTTTCTCGGATTCTTTTCCTGAGGGAAGGGAGAGGTCTCGTAGACCATCTCTCAATGTCCGTAGGCTACATTTTGTGGCCGTAGGCCATTTTTCCCATTTCGGAGTCCGGTTTTCGGTTTTCGGAGCCGTCAGGCCGTGTGCCTCGGTTCGGGACCACTTAACCATCTCCGTTTACTCTAAATTTTGGCATACATCTTATTTTCTCCCTTTCAAGGGACACTGGGGTCTGAGAAACCCACTTCGTGGCCGAACGCCACTTTCGGTGTTTAACGGGCAGTTTCCGGGGCCCCGAACTGCGTGTGTTGGCCCCCGAACATTCGTTTTGCATCGGTTTTTATTCATTTTTGGCAGGTACCTCTGTTTCATCACTAGGAAGGTCATGGAAGGGTGGGAGGCCAGCAATTGTTTCAACAACCAGTTCTTTACTCCTCCGGCGCCCTCCGACACCCGTTTTTCGCACTTCCGGGCCAATGTTGAACACCTTGGAGCCATTTTCTTCAAACCCAAACCACATATTTGTGATGTACACACAGGGGAGGACCCTAAAAGTTCATGGCCGGCCACTAATGCTCCTTGA